AAGATAGTAGATCACTAAATTATAAAATAAGAGAAATGAAACAACTTGATATGGTTTATTTAATGAAAGTAGCACTTCATGTTAAAGACATGAATGACATTCAAAACATTGAAATGATTAACAAGAAATGTGGAATTGCAATTAACTCATTGAAAGTTAATCCATGGTTTACATCAGAAAGAGATGTTAATAAGTTTTGTAACATATTTAATCCACCAACATGTAATTGCAATTTACTTCCTGTTGATGAATCAGTATTAATGAAAGTTGAGAATATTAGAAATTATGAATTAGACAGTTTCAATCGCACAGTCAAAATAGTAAATGCAAACAATCAACTTAATCTACAACATCAAAAAATGACAGAAGAAGAAAAGGAGCGAATGGCTAAAATTATTCAAAAAGTTGAATCAATGACATGTTTTTCAAATATTATGGAAGAAATGATGGAAGTGGTTGTTCAAAACATGAAGAAAGGAATTAAAATAAGATTCAACGAAATTTGTGCTGAGCGATTTGATGAAATATTTGATAAAATGAAAATAGAAGAATCAATGTATCCAAGTGAAATGATCATTTATGGAAGAATAAACAATAATTGGATTAAGGCTAGAGAGAATAAAAACATTATTGTCATTTGTGAAACAAGAGGTCTCATTGAACAAGAAAGCGAAATAAATATACCAAAAGGTATTACAATTTATTCATCAAATATTCTTTTGGTGAAACCAAATAATGAAACAAATATTAAATTTGTTAGATCACCAAGTGATTCATTATTTTCAAATGTAAAAGTAAATGTATTTAGTCAACCCAGATTTAATGATATGTCTAGTGTTACAGTGAATATAGAAGATATTAGTAATGAAGAGAATAGAAAGAAGGTTTATAAGATTCTTAATGATCTTTATGTTGATTCTATTTTATTTACCTCTCCAAATCAACAAACAACTGGAAATAGTACCAACTCACTACAGAATAAAATACCACAATTACCTGAATATATCAAATACATTTGTGTTCAATCAAGAATGTTAAATTTAATAATCGATAACAAACAATTGGAGTATTTAGAAGTAGGTTCATGTGACTCAACCATTGAACTTAAATCAATAAACAATTTAAAACAGTTAAAACTATATGGAGTTAATAAACTAAAGATAAATGAAATAAAAGAAGAACAAGAAATTACAACAACAAACAACAGAAAATACTGGAAAGACATACAAGAAAATATAAGCACATTCCCAAATCTTGAAGAACTTCAATTAGCCCAATGTTCTAATTTAAATATTAGTTTAATATCAAATAAATTGAGGAGTGTTAAAGTGGTTGAATGTCACCAATGTAAAATTAATATTAAATCAGATTGTATTGAAAGATTGAGATTAGAAAGGGCTATTCACACACAATTCAAATTATCAACAAATAAATCAACTGATATTTATATTAAAGAAGGTGATACTTTCACATTAGAAATAGAATCAAATAATGAACAAAATATTGAAATAATAGAAGGAAATCAGATTAATGTAAAATCAAAATGTCCAATTAATAAATTAATAATAGTAGAATCTTATGAAGTTAGTATTAGAGGAAATGAAAAATGTAATACAATGAAAGTTATTGAATCTACAATCAAGGAAATTGATATTAAACCAAAAAGAATTATATTTAAATTAATTAAAGAATACATCAAAGTACCTCTGAAAGAAGCAGAAGAGATATATATTGTATCAATGAAAGATTATATCTTTGAAGAGTTATTTGATAAATGTAAGAAATTATGTATTGATGAATGTGAGAATTGTCAATTCATAATCAACAAGAATCAAATCAAAGAAATGAAAATAACAAAATGTAAAAATACAGAAATCACAGGGAAGTTAGATAATATTGAAGAAATCATCACAATAGATAATGAAGAATGTAATATTCCAGAAACAAAGAAAGTTATAAAAGAAGATACAGAAATAATAGAAATGGATAATACAAATAAAGATATAGAAATAGAAACAGATAAGAAATATGTTATAATAAGAAATATTCATGATCGTAATATTAAAATTAAAAGTGATATTAATAGTGATGTTACAATAGAAAATTGTAAAAATATCACACTTGAAGGAGAATATGAACACTATGGAAATATTCAATTCATTAATTGTAAGAATAATAAAGAAACTCGATTTAATAATCAAGATAATAGATCAACAATAGGATATGCTAGATCAATATCAATTAATAAATGTGAGAATATTGATTTTGAAATATATGGCACTAAAAAGTTATTAGAAGTTATTGATAGTAAAGTGGATATTTCAGTAAGATCATGTTCTCATAATGTAAACATTGACACAATACATATTGAAAACTCTGAATTTCCTGTTTTCAATTTAAGTGTATCATGTAACAAAGCAATTTTAAATAATAGTACTGGAGTTAACGAAATCATTCACCGATGTGAAGAAGAACTTATAATGAAAAGAATAAATGACATGCAATTTATGTTAAACCAATCTTTGAAGAAAGTTGAAATGGAAGAATGTAGTGGAATTAATATTAAGGATGATGTTAAAGGAAAAGAAGTTAAAATGATAAGATGTCATAATATAAAGATAATTGATACATCGAATTCAATCAACCAGATTGAATGTGATAATATTGAAGTAATAACAGAACAACAAAATGAAATGATGAGAGGATTTGGAATGATGGGAGGATTTACTCATAATAATATGCCAATGGGAGGATTTTTCAGTTCGTGCCTTAAATAAGAGAAAGTAATGATGATGAATAACTTGATTCATTTTTGATAAATTTGATTGATTAAAATAAAAGATTTAACAAATAATAAACAATGTTATGATTGGTGAATGATAAATGATATTCAATAAATAAAATCAAATTCAAAATAACTCTTCATCAATAATTCATTTATTAATATAATAAGTTAAACATAATAAAGTTTATCATCAACAAAAATACAATTCAATTATTAATGTAATAACACTTATCTTCATTGATAAAGAGAATAAAGAAATTAAATGTTTATAATGATGATTAAACTCGAGTATGAGAATAAAAGAATAAAAAGAAAGAATGTTAATTAATAGATTGTAAATGTTCTACACCAACTTGCTTTCCAAAATTAATAGCCTTTTCCTGTTTCTTTATGTCTTTCTCAACAATACCTTCTCCATCACATCCAACCATATATAACTCATTATATGCAATATGATACAAATTAGCAGTTTCTTTAATTGCATAAGCACCTCTTTCACAAAAACTCTCTTGAACATCATCACAATTCACTATACATATAAATCTTTTATGTTTAAACATTGGAGTAAGTTTTTTGCTTTAATCCATTATTATCCCAATCATATGAAAGAACAAAACAATCTAACAATGAACTATTCATACAATATTTTAAAATTATATAAAATCATATTAAAATGATAAAAACAGAATTAAAAGATAAATTAAATATAATTAAGAATTGTGAAATATTTAATATTCTAACATCACTTTTTGTATTCTTCATTTCAAATAAATAATGATGAATAAAAATCATTTCATTTCAATTACAATAATTCGTTGTGGTGTGAAATATTCTGGATATTGTTTTCCACAAAGTGTATTTGATATTCTTTTATATGAAAATGAAAATTGATCACAAAATGATTCTGTTTTATTA